GTGTTTATATATATATATATATATATACAGTATGTATATACCTACAAACACATGCATATACATACATTTGACTAAAATATTTTAGTACATGAAAAATGCCAAATTTAATAATAAAAAGGAAACAAAATAAAGTTTGATGATGCAAATGAATCTTGAACTGATTCACTTGAACAGACCGTTTGAACTGATTCACTGAAATCTATTAAACTTACTACAGTATGTCTACATTTGATATCAACAGCAAAATCCTTGTATTCAGTTTATAACTAGTAGTAACTAGTCGTAGTTAGTTAGTGTGGCAGATTCTCTGGTTAGAGTTGTAAGTGTCTGATTTGTAATGCAAGTGATGCTGTTGTAAGGAAACACACATCTACCTGCAGAATGGTGAAGTTTTCAAGTACGCTGTTCATCATGTATTTCTCTGGTAGATGTTTGAGTTTATGGATGAAGTTGATCATGTATTCACACAGCGGCGATCGATGGATCCTGAACACGTATCTGCCGTTCTCAAAGCGTGCGTACTCTGTCTGAACGACACACAGATGATTATTGTTACCTCAAACTGAACACCAGTCACACAGACATGCCCTAACACAATTATGATGACTTAATATGGTGATATATTTGCATACGGAGGGGATCTTTCTCCTGTTCTGACCACTAATGTCATTTGATACGGCCTTTAAAACAATCAGATGGACCCGTGGTGTAAATAAGTTGTGACAGGTCACATTTATTCCTACCTCCACCTTTTCCACCACCTGTTTCCCAAACGAGCAGACTTTAGTGGAGGAGGTGATGATCATATTTTCCGAGCTCTCATACTGACTGGATACGCCGTAGAAGAAGCTGCTGTCGTCCTGGAGGTTGATGCTCAGATCTGCCTGCAAACACGACACAAGACCGAACCAGAATGAATACACACACACGTGAATCTCTATAATAAAAGTAAAACATCTGTGGCAGTTCACTGATGGCATTGATATTGTTATATAATGTGACATAGTAATAAACAAATGGCATATTCATAGACTATAATGATTAAGAAGTACTTCAGAGAATGCCTTCAGGGAAGTGTCCCAAAAAACATGCTTTCCCATGTATATTTTCAGTGTGTTATCACTGCATTTTATTTTTTCAGGAAAAATGCATTTAAAACAAAAACCTGTTAAAACATGTCTGGATCACATTTCAACCCAAAATCAAAAATGTTGATTATATTTTGCATCAACAACATGCATGAAGCCTATTTTAATAACACTGAGATCTTATGTATTGTGACATTATTTTAATAAAAACTAAGCTCATTGTCATAATGCCAAAAAAAAATCATATAATATAATGTTTTATATATTACATATTATTTGTAAAAATATTATATTTTCATATTATTATATTATTTATAACCATTTAAAATAAAAATTATATTAAATATATGTGTTATTTAACACAATTCCGTATTTAACAAGTTTGAAAAGTTATAAAAATATTCCTTATTTTAAATGTTTTTTAAACATAT